CTCGCCGTCGTGGCCACGAAGAAGCTACCACTGCGCCAAATCGACGTCGCAAACGCCTTCCTGTACGCACCTGTGGACACCGAGATCTTCGTCGAGCAGCCCCACGGATTCATCGACGATCCCACAAAAGTGTGCCAGCTGATAAAATCCCTCTACAGGATCAAACAAGCCCTGCGGCTTTGGCAGCAGCATCTTCACGGCCGCCTCGTCAAGATCGGCTTCCTACAGCTGCCGCACGACCAAGGCATGTACCGACTATAGAAGGAGGGGGATTTTGTCCTACTAATCGTCTACGTCGACGACCTGCTCTACATCGGCTCCACTACCGACATCACCACCTGGTTCGAAGGGGAGCTGAGGAGTGACTTGACACTCACGATGTCTAACACCGTGACCCAGTACTTGGGCCTGAACGTCGTCAAAGACACCTCGGCGTTCTACCTACACGCCGGAAAGTAAGCAGGCGTTGTCGCGAAGAAATTCGGACTGACGACGATCGTAATCGCGACTCCCTATCGCTACGGGAACGACAACGGCGGAACCTCCGCAAAACTCCCCGCGAAGCAAATCCAGGAATATCAACAGAAACTCGGCTGTCTACTGTTCGCAACAGTAACCTGCCGACCGGACCTGTCCTACAGCGCGAGCCAACTGGCGACACACCTGAAGCAGCCGGAGCAAGAGGATCTCGAAGAGTTAAATCGGGCACTACTCTACTTCGTCTCTACGCCGATGACCGGACTTACCTACAGCAAAGTAACACCGACGTCCGTACGACTACTCGGCTATGTCGACGCCGACCATGCGGGAGATAGGGAAAATCGAGGCTCCAGAACGGGCTACATCTACCGACTAGAGCCTATCGGGACTATCTCCTGGCAATCAAGGAAGGAGGAATTAATGGCGCTATCTTCGGCTGAAGCGGAATATATCGTCCTCTGCACCGCGACCAAAGAAGGACTTTATCTACGGGAGCTGCCCGAGGAAGCAAAAATAGCGACCATGCCCGCCTTCTCGTTACTCTGCGACAACCAGTCCGCAATCAAAATCGCGAACAAAGATGGGTTCGCCAATCGAACCAAGCACATCGCCCTGCGGTACTTCTTCGTCAAGGATGAGATCGCGAAGGGGAGACTTCAACTCAGTTACTGCCCCACAGTAGAAATGGCCGCAGACTACCTGACGAAGAAACTGGCGAAGGCAAAGTTCGATTACTGCTTGCTGCTGACCGGGCAGATAAACGTCACCGAATCTGGACACGTCAGCACTCCAGAAACGAAGGGGAGTGTTGGAAATACCTCAAGGTCTTAGCGTTTCTGAAGTGTAACACTACACTCGATTGAAGCCGTATCGGGTACACGAGTCAACGGAGGTTACACGAGGAGGTTGGACGAAAGAACACGAAAGGACGAAAGACTCGAAGGGTCGCAACCGGAGGTTGTGACTGACCGTTACAACTGCAAGGGTGGTAACCGAATCGACCATCGAGTCGCTGTGCGACTCGATATCCGTTCCTTCAACTCTATTCTACAACTGCTTTACTTTCTTATTTTCTATATATTGATGTATGCTTGTTTCTTTTAATCAATCACTTGCTCTCACATACTAATGCAAGGGTTCAACTACTCAACTTCCGCTGCACTACTCAAGTATCTTGTACAACTGGGACTTAGTCTCTGAAAAGATCCTAAGGGCTTTTTCTCAGCCCAACATCCGGATAATAAGTCAATCAGCACTGTATGAGTTCGCAACGAAGTTTCAAACGTTGTGTAGGCCAAAAGTTTGATGTCGGGCAGTCTGGCCGGTATTCTGGTAATTAAATGTGCATGTTCGCACAAAAATGATGTGAAACCAACTTCGGGAGGTTTGGGGGGTGTCGGATGCCTGATTAGCTTATTTTGATGTTCGGCGCACAATTATGTGAGGTAGAGTGAGTTGTCTTTCTAAAAAATAGGATTCGTTTAGAATGTACTAATGTCGGGTAGAGTTTATGGATAGGGAAAGTCCATCGGCGCTCAGTATTAGGGGCCTCGATAATATGTACGGTAAGTGACACAATATAAACAATCAAAATTGGCGAGTTCGGAACATGATCCATCAATCGGGTTCCATAGTTAGTCAGAAACTGTAGGAAAAAAGTTCCACGAATGGTCAGTAGAAGTAATCCCCGCCCGTCTAGGAACGTTTTCCCGCTCACGCTAGCCCAATTTCGTCATCATTGTGGCATGCGCGAAATTTTTCCCGAGCTGCAGGCGCAGTTCGAGCGAAAAAATGTAATATACCCAAATTTAAGTTGATTGGACAAAAGCTGTTCGAGAAACAAGAAAATACGATTTTGTTTCGAAACACATACTTTCGTCGTAGAGTGTAGTGCGTTCCGTGAAGCTTAAGAATTGCGGTTTTGTCTCTACCGCATTTACGCCCCCCAAAAACAGTGAAGCCTTAAAATTATCGTCGTTCCCGAATCGCTTCAAAGAAAAACATATAAAGAAAACTATAGAAATTTATTTTGGGAAATGAATATGTTTAAAAGTGCATCAAAGTACACTCATTGCCGTACAATTTTTTGTATTAACTTAAGTACAACAAATCTTTTAGATTTCTGCTGGCTGTAGTTATAAATTTTCCCACAAATGAATTTACTGCAAAAAATCCCCGCTAATTCACGACTCTACAAGTCACGTCATGCTCGAAAAAAATTACCGCATGCACGGCACAGTAGAATATTGATGCCTCACTAGCTTAGCGCGGATCCCGGATATATTTGCCCTTGTGTGTCAATTTTTTTTATTTTTTTTTGTGCGCGTTTGTTAATGTTTGAACAATGTGCGGCCCACTGTGGCCCGATTAGCTTATATGACAGAAATGAGCAAGGTCAAAATTTTGGAATTTTGTGTGCGCGACGTTCAAAGAATGTTTATTTTGGGAATATTTTTCGTAGTTCTCTCGAACTGCGCCTGGAGCTCGGGAGAAATTTCGCGCCTGCCACAATGATGACGAAATCGGGCTGGCGCGAGCGGGAAAACGTTCCTGGACGGGCGGGGGTTACTTCTACTGACCATTCGTGGAACATTTTTCCTACAGTTTCTGACTAACCGTGGAACCCGGTTGATGAAACATGTTGCGAACTCGCTAATTCTGATTGTTTATATTGCGTCACTAACCGTACATATTATCGAGGCCCCTAATACTAAGCGCCGATGTACTTTCCCTTATGGATAACCTTCCTTCCACGTCCTGCTCACACGATTTGTTCCACCGACCAACGAACCGCAGCGAAACCTTGCGACTGGCCAAACCCCTGACACAGGTTCGCGCCAAAGTGTACAGTGCTTTCTTCCTGTGATGAGGAGGAACCATAGGTGGTGATCGTGTCTGTACCGTGATCTGCCTCCAGACTCGGTTTCGCTGTATTGAATTGGAGTATGAACTCTAATCGAGACGGCAACTGCTGACGCAGTACAGCACACAATTGTCCTAAAGCTCAGGGAGTTGAAGTGCTTAAATTGACACCCTGAGAAACTTTCTGTGTGCGAAGCGAACTTCACGCAGAAATTCGATATCTTGAAAACGATATGTATATTCCAAAGGGAAATTATACGCTGGGTAACTCTTACTCTTCATTTTCCCGATTTAGTCACTCTTCTCCCACCTCAGCCAATGTTTTATCGAGTCGAAATCAGCAGCGTCAAACGTTTTGTTCAGTTTGATGCCGTATGGCAAAATATTTTAACACGTGTCCCAGAAATGCGATAGTCTCAAAATGTCCAAATTTTGAAGAGAAGAATGCATAGCTAGTAGAGGATTCTGTCTCGGTAAACATTTGCTCACCGCTCCGCGACGCGTTATTTAGATGCAGACGTGTCGATTAGGGCAGCCTGAAACAAAATAGAACCCGCAGCAGCCCCTATATATACGGACATGTCAATTAGGGCAGCCTGAAGCAAAATAAAACTCTCAGCGGCCCGATATTCGACTTGGGGTGGCATCAACCCTAAAGACGAACAGAGCCGCGAGTTTAGAATTGATGTCACCACGAGTCGCGTGCAGGCTCTGATGGGTTTGAGTTTTGTGGGCATCCCGAAAAACAAAACGTCAGAAATAGTGACATAGGTCTAGTTTACACCTTGAAGAATGGCTTGTTAGATTTCAGCAACGAAAACAATGTTTTTCCATTCGGGGATTTTTGTAACAACCAGTAAATTCGCATACGTTCAGTTGCGCGATTTGCGTGCGCTTCGTCTGCTCACTGTTTCTAGCCACAAGAAGACAACACTTGACTAAGTAAGTCTTCACGAATATAATCTACTGCGAAATTTGAATGTGAGTGAAATCGAATGTTTTCTTCAGATATAGTTTCTATTTGTTTGTCACTACAAGTAGTCTCCCTATTCTCTGGGATTTCGCCATTTTCGGACACGTGTTGAAAGAGTTTGCTATGCGGCATCAAACTGAACAAAAAGTTTGACGCTGCTGATTTCGATTCGATGAAACGTTGACTGGGATGAGAAAAGAGTGATTAAATCGGGGAAACGTAAAGTAAAAGTTACCCAGCGTATAATTTCCCTATTCCAAACCTAGCCTTTTGCGACGGATCGTGCCGCGTCGACTGTGGCACACGCCGCCGACATGTGCACGATGGCTGGTAGTGTGGTGGTGACCCCAGAGAGAATTCTGTGGAAGAACCAATCAAATGAGCTGGTTCACGCGACAGCGAAATTCATGTGTTTGTTTGTGTGCTTGTCGCCAGCTGCTTCGCCACTACACCACCCGCCCCAGGAAGCACACTCCTCTGCGGCGTGACGAAGCTCGTCAAAGCCGCTCAACCAAGCTGCGATGAGCTGGCACGAACTTTGCCTTCCATCCCCCTTCCTCGCGATTCCCGTCGCGTCACCCCCCCACCCCACCCTCCTCCACCAGGCACACCCAACTCAGGCCTTCACCTTCATCTTCAGCTCCCTCCCAACCTCAGCTATTTGTGTAGTCACTACAAATACTCGACACTGGAAGTGCACAGAACACAACTACTCCCAAACCCACTCGAACCAGCTCTCCCATCGTCCCATCGCCCCGTCCCGTCGCCTCGCGATCCCTCGTGGCGGACCAGATAGAGCCGACGCCATTCTACCGTAAACAACTTCTAGCCAGCTTCGCCTTACAATCCGATCGTCATCGCCATTACCGCGCACGTTTCCGTCAATTTCAATTCCTCGCACCAGAAAACCGGCGCTTCCCAACTTCACGTATCCACTCTCCTGTTTTCCGGCCGCTTCTTTACCAGTTGTCTTCATTGTCGCATCGCATCGCCGTTCGTCGCCTCTCGTCGCCGTTCGTCGCCTCTCGTCGCCATCATCATGGCCCGCCTGCTCGCGATTTCGCTGCTCGGCGCGCTCAGCTGCGTGCTGCTTCTCGCGTCGCAGGGCGCCGTCGCCACGCGCGTCGCACCCACTTCAACGAACCCTCACGCGCCGTCGCAATTCGTCGCGAACATTCGCCGGCAGCTGCTGTTCGGCCGCATCAATTGCGGCAAATCGGGCCTCAAGGGGTACACCTCCAAGGCCGCATTGACCTCCGGGTACGGCGGCAGACCAGTCGTTATGTTTCGTGAACTTGAGTCACACAACGTGATCAACTGCCGCAAGCCGGGGCGACACTTCCAAGGCCGTGTCGGCCTATTTAGCCAAGTGCCTAGTCACTGACTAGAGTTTGTGGTAATTACCCCATGATCATGATCATCTCCCCCTTCCCCCCACTCTCCTCCCCCCACCCACCCCTCTCCCCCCTCCCCCCCTTCCCTCCCCCCCTCCGACTCCACCTTTGATATTCCCTCGATCACGCCAAGCCGCTGATCCCCGCATCCGCTCGGATGGATTGGCGGCGTCGCCGCCCTGTGCGCCTTCTTAGCTCTCCCGCATCCTGGCGCATTCAACAAGTGACGGTGTCCCTCGTTTCCCAATTCCGTGCTCCCTCCGCCAGCCTCACCCTTCACTGGAAGGCCACCCTGGGCAAGACAGTGAACATGGCGGTCGTCGCAACCGGAGCCAAGGCAGCGGGGTGGTTCTCCGTGGGATTCTCGCCCAATGGCGGAATGGCGGGCAGCAACGTCGTCGCCACTGACTCTTCGGGCAGCCCGGTGACGAAAGATCTCGTTGGCCAGTCGTCCGCGGAAGACGCGACGTGGACCGTTGGATCGGGCTCGATCACCACGGCGGGCAGCACAGTCACCATGAAGTGAGTGACGGTCACCACAGTGGAGACTTGTTCTGGAAGCGATGTAATTGACCTTTTCTTTTTATCCTGCAGCTCCCTTCCCTGCGCCCCTTAGCTCCAAGCCAAAATGTGAATCAGGAAAGTCTCTTCCAACCCCACGCTCTGCAATTCTCTCTTCCTTCTCTCGCACCCTCTCCTCACCTGTGTGCATTCCTCCCATCCCTCGCACACCAGGTTCACCAAGCTGAAGGGCGATGGGGCATCCGTGAAGGTGCACTCCCAAAACGACAACAACATCGTGTGGGCGTATGGCGATGGGGACACCGTCTCGATGCACAACGGACGGTAAGTACATCGCCTCTAAGAGCGCCAACAAGCATTGTCTCCATGCACAATGGAGCGTCAGTACATCGCCTCCAAAAGCGCCGCACAAGCGTTGTCTCCGTGCACAATGGAGCGAAGCTATATCGCATCTTAAAGCGCCTCACGATGGAAGCTATCTTGCGTCTCACCTGTGTTTCAGTAATTTCTGTGTCCGACAGTGATGACATTCACCGATTGTGCTTGCATCTGTCTCTTGTGTGCTCCTGTGTGCTGTGCAGTGGAAAAGCATCTATCAACTTTGCATGCGGCTGCCCTCTGTTCCAGAGCAAGTGCTAAGCAGATCTTCAGAAGTCATCCCGTGCAGACTGCTGCTGGCTGGGCCCTACAGCTGAACAATTACTACACTGGGGCTAGAGATCGGAACAACCTCGTTGTAATACTTCGGGGGTGGGGTTGAAGGGGGCTCTCCTAGCTGGTAGATGGTAATGAGCTTGAGGGGCCGCCTCAAGAAGCGTCCAAAGTGGTAATTGGCATGCTCAAAGATTGGTGGGATTTGAGCACGAATCAGTACTTTGGACGCACCTTGAGGTGGTCAAGAAACTCTTGTATGAGTGTGATTCCGAAACCATATTGAAGTTGCATTATACCTTGGATATGAAGGGGAATTGTACATTAATTGAATCGCCTAAACCGTGAGTGTTGCTATCTCACAGGCGAAGCGTTTTTCATTGCGAAGTCAAGGTTGGATGGGATTGGCGCGAAACTGGAAAGAGGTTGGCTAGCGAGGCGAGGCGAGGCGAGGCGGCGACACTCACCAGAGGCTCGTTTCGTTCGCACACGGACCATTCGTTTTCATGCGCGACACAATCCCAGGGCCATCCACCCGCACCTGCCGCTGTGGTGGAGTTTGTGCCCGTTCGCGACTCCTCCACCCTGATTCGTGCGCAGCCGAGTTCTGACATGCACTAGCGAGAAATGCGAAAATAGCAACAGCACGCTGCAGGTGTCGCAAAGTGTTCGCGTGAGTTTCGCAGAAACCCAGATGTAATCCCCCACACTGCATGTCATTCCCCCACGCACCCATGAAATCCCCCGTGTCCCCACATCCTCCCGCCCCCTCTCCCCTTCCCCTCCCCCGCTTGCCCTCACCATTGCACTGTACCAACCTCGAGATTTGACTTTGTCAAGCTGCCTTGAGATTTGAGACAAGCTCGGGGCAGGCGAACCAATTTACCTTGGGATCACTTCATGCCTGCCTGCTGATCCACATACTGGACGATGGGGATGGGGTGCTTCTGATTGTTCCTGCTGCCACCAACCTGGAGAACTGTGTCAGCCATCGCTGGCGGCTGCGCTGCCAGCTCCTGAAGAGATCCGCACTCGTCAGAATGCCAGGCAGCCAAGTCTAGCTGGCAGTTAGGAAGGTGCAACTTACCAGGCGTGCCCGTTATGGCTTAGTCTGCAGTCTCTTAATCTCATCTATCCCAATAGTCGCAGGATCCGTACGCGTAAATATCAGATCTTGCTCTTGTTCCATTTTTTAAGTCGAAGTCTCGAGAGCAAGGCTCCCAGCCATGGATGACCTGGCGAGCGTGCTTGCCGCTGCGGGCCTCAAGTCGCAAGGCAAGCACACGCCGATGGTGCCGAAGCGACCCGCCGGGGGAGGCATGGGGGGAGGCGGCATGGGGGGAGGCATGGGGGGAGGTGTGGGGGGAGGCGGAGCTCCCAGCTGGGGTGTCGGCGGCGCAGGAATCGGGGGAGGCCAGATGGGCGGAAGCGGCGTGAGCTCCGGTTTGGGGGGAGGCACGGGGGGAGGAATGGGCCGAGGGATGGGCGGGGGTATGGGTGGGAGTTCGGGAGGTATGGGGAATTTAGGAGGGATGGGTAATTTGGGAATGGGAAATTTGGGAGGTATGGGAGGGGGAATGGGAGGGTTGGGAGGCGCCTCAGCAGGAGCGGGAGGAGGCATGGGGAATCTGGGAGGTGGGATGAGTAAGCCTGCTGCAGGCATGGGTGGTGGCGTGAGTGGCGGCGTTGGTAGCGGTATGAGTGGTGGCATGGGTGGCGGCATGGGTGGCGGCATGGGTGGCGGAATGGGCGGCGGTATGGGTTCCCTTGGTAAAGGCATGGCCGGCAGCGGCAGCGGCGGCGGGAGTCGCGGCGCGAGTACCGGTCTCTCCAACAACGCGTTCGCTGGTCTGGGAGTGGGGGATTTCGGGCTCGGAGGCAAAGGCGGAAGCACAGGCAGCGGAGCGGGCGCAAGCTCGTCGAGCCGCGGCCCAACTCCGACGAGATCCGGACATTCGGGGCGATCGTCGCCGTCCGTTACGGAGGATCTGTCGTCGGGATCAGGGATGGGGTCTGCCGGCGGAGGAGGGGTGGCTGCGACGGCGTCGGCCTTTGACGAGCTGATGAGCAAGGGGTTCGAGATGCCGTCATCGTCAACGTCATCGTCTAGAGACCGACGGGATCCGTCGCCGGTTCCTGCTGCGCACGCCCATGACGATCTGCTGGCTGGGTTCGGCAGGTGAGTTGTGTGGGGACGATAGCGATAACGATAACAATAACGCTAACGGTAACGGTATCGATAATGGCGATGCCACGTTTGCAGTCGCTGGAACGAGGTGATCAGCTCTTGTGCGTTGAGGGGACGAGGCCATGCGTTCAGACGACTTTAGCTGATGGCGCACTGCAGCTGCTGCTGCTGCTGCTGCTGCTGGCTCTCGTGTGGATCTTAGTTAGGGGCTCTAGTGGTTCTAACGGAGTGGCTCTAACGGAGCGGCTCTAATGGAGAGTGGCTCTAACGGGGTGACTCGATTATATTTTAAAAGGCGGCTTTAGCGTTGTGACGAACGCTGATACTCGTTTTGACCTTGTGCACTCAAGACGGATCCGACGTGTGGTGCCAAGTGTTACGAGTCGAGTCGAATGAATGCACCGGTTATCTGATCGGAATGCATAGAGCACGCCGTTAGCGGATCGAAATCCCACCGCATGCGAACAGGAGACCCGCTTTCGCGATCTTTGCAGGAAGTAACCAGCAGCCCCACGGTCCATGTCCCCGGGATAATAGGCCGCACTAGCCAGCCCCACACCGCGACGTCGAAGTGTCGGAAGTGTCGTCGAGTGCGATGAGTGTTGCTAGACTTCTAGATGAGGCCAGTCCGTTTTGTCCCCTGGAAACCTCAACCCCGTATGGTCGATGGTCCAGCGGTGAGGATTGATCATGTGGCTGCTGGCAAGAGTGCATGCCAGCGATTTGCGGGAGGGTATGCGATTTGTCAACGAGTCCTCACGCGCGCATTTCAAGCAACGCATTGCACGTCCTGCTTTGCTTTGCAGGCCCACCACTTTGATCTGACGTTGAGCGTCGGTTCGACTCCAAGTCATGCTTTGCTTCTCGACGTGCTCTCAAAACTCCCCATCTCCCCCTCTCCCCCGCCCCCCTTCAGTTCCACTAAGCCCACCAGCACCACGGCTGGTCCAACACCCCCTCTCCTGTGGGAGGGCTCTTTTCTGAAGACGGAGGCCCCTCGCCCAAGCCGCCCCCCGCTTGACAAGACATGTCTTTCTTACTATCCCCTCGTCCCCCTTCAGTTCCGCCAAGCCCACCAGCACCACCCAACACCCTCGCCTGTGGGAGGGCTCTTCCCCGAAGACGGAGGCCTCTCGCGCATGCCCTCGTTACTCTTTACTAGCATTTCTCTCCAATCATCCCCCCATCCCCTTCCTTCCCCCCAATTCCCTTCCTTCCCCCCAACCCCCTTCCTTCCCCCATCCCCTTCACTCCCCCCACCCCCCATCCCCCTTCAGTTCCGCCAAGCCCACCAGCACCACTGCTGGCCCAGCCCCATCACCTGCAGGAGGGCTCTTCCCCGAGGATGGAGGCCCCTCGCCCATGCCCTCCCACTCCTCCTCTGCTGCAGCTGCTGCAGCTGACCCGTTTGGAGTCGACCCGTTATTCGGTACAGGCGCTCCTCCCCCTTCTTCTACGCCTCCCTCGGCTGCTGCCGCTGCTGTTCCCGATCCTTTTGATGCGTTTTCCATGCCTCCTGCTGGTTACAGCACGGGAGGCTCGGGATTAGGTACAGATGCGGGAGTTGCCTCACAGGCATCAGGTCCGGATATTGGTTTGGGTGACTTTGAGACGTTCGTGCAGCAGGTTCCCGTCCCTGAGGTTCGGGAAGAGGCTCGGGAGGAGGCTCGGAAGGTGAAGAGGGAGGATAGTGGGGAAGCGAGGGAAAGGGAGAGGGAGAGGGAAAGGGCTAAGGAGAGGGAAAGAGAGAAGGAAATGGAGAGGGAAAGGCAGAGGGAGAGAGAGGAGAGAGAGAGAGCGAGGAGAGGAAGCGATGGGTCAGCAGGAGCAGGAGGAGGGGGGGCAGGAGGAGGGGGAGCAGGAGGGGGGGACAGGTGGGTGACTGTAGAGGAGGTTATCCTCCGAACCAATCCCAGCAGCACCCCTCCTCCTCCCTCCCGCCCGCCTCCCGCCACGCCCCGCCGCCCCCGCTCCAGTGCGCCTTCCTACGCTGCTGGTGCTGGCGGTGCTGGCGGGGGTGGTGCTGGTGCCAGTGATGGGCCGATGCCAAGGAAAATGAGCTTCGAGAATGCAGGCGAGGGAGGGGCGGCAGGGGCGGCAGCAGGAGGGCGTGGTTCAGGGAGAGGCGGGGAGGATGCAGGAGGGAGGAGCCAGCCAGAGCAGAGAGGAGGAGGAGGGGGTGGTTTGGATGGGTTTGATGATTTTGCTTCCGGTGGTGGTGGGAGGGGCGGAGGGGAGGATGACGAGAGGGGGGCTCCGCCTAGGAGGCGGAGGGCGGGAGGAGCGGCGGCTAATGGGGAGGTGCCAGGTGGCGGGTATGCGGCGACAGACTCTGCGTCAGCAGCAGCGGCGTCGTCTGCTGCTATGAAAGACGCTATGGAGAGCGCTCAGAGGAAGGCGGAGGCTGCTAGGGCGGTCAGAGAGAAAGAGAGAGAGAAGGAGAGGGAGAGGGAAAAGGAAAAGGAAAAGGAGAAGGAGAAGGAGAGGGAGAGGCAGCGGGAGAGGGAGAAGCAGCGGGAGAAGGAAAGGGAGAAGGAAAGGCAGCAGCAGCAGCAGCGGGCACAAGAAGCCAAGAGCCGGTCCTCGGTAAGTCTGTGGTGGTGGTGCTGCTGCTTTTGCTATTGGAGTTGGTGTTGGGTGGGTAGGTGTTTGGTTGGGTTGGGTGGTGTTGGTGAGAGGGCGGGTGGGTGGCTGGTTGTTGGGTGGATGATTGACCTGTTTACAGGAGGGCAGAGTCATGGGTTGAGGCACCGGTTTCAGGGGCCTCAAAACTGGTTTGATGGGCCAATGACATTCGGCGGACTCAAGCTTACGGATTCTGATTTTGCTCTCGTTTCTGCTGGCCATACATTTGAGCTGGGGACGAGAGCACATTGGCACAAAATAATTTGTATGCTGGGGGTTTTTTATTTATTTCATTGACCCCGTCCATACAAATGGTTCCTTGGCTGTCGAGAGTGCTCTCGTGGATTCTACTTCTGCCGTCATACCCCCCCGTCGTCATGCTTTTTCGTCTCTTCATATCCCCCTGCCTCTCGCCCCACCCACCTCCAGCAGCCAGCGCCGCCAAAGCAGCAGCCGTCTTCAGCTGATGATTGGGCCGACATTCTTGGTACGCCCCTTTCATTCCCTCATTCCTCTCCCTTCTCCCTCTATTCTTGGTTTCAATGCACAAAAGAAAATAAACATACATCCATCTTCGAGCCCGTGACTGTGCTGACATGCTTGGGACGCCTCAACCGTGCCTCTCTCCCTGTTCGCCTCAACCGTGCCTCTCTCCGTGGTTTTGCACGCGCCTCCCGTTTTCAGACCCCATTCTCGTTCTTCTCCCCTTGCACACCCTTCCTACTTCGCCCAGTCCTCCCTCCCACTCACCCGTTCCTCTCATGCCTTAGTCTCCCTCTCCAACCCATGTAACTGCTTAACCTCCTTCCGCCTCCCTTCCCTTAAGCAGGGGGGAGAGAAGGACGGGGAAGAGGGGGGAAGGGGGGGAGGAAGAAGGGGAGAGAGGGGTGTGTGGCTCAGCAAGATGGGAGGGGTCGTCATGGATGGGAGGGGTCGTCATGCATGGGAGGGGTGGTCATGCATGGGAGGGGTGGTCATGCATGGGAGGGGTGGTCATGCATGGGAGGGGTGGTCATGCATGGGAGGGGTGGTTATGGATGGATGGGAGGGGTGGTTATGGATGGATGGGAGGGGTGGTTATGGATGGGCACCTATGCAGGGGAGTTCGGGATGCCATGCATGTCCATTCCCAGCACTCCTATGCGCAGGGGTGCAGCGGAGTGGTGGAGCGGATTTTGCTTCTCCCCTCTGTCACTTACATCCCCTGTCTTCCCCCCTCCATTTCCCCCACCCTTTCCCCCACCCCTCTCTCATCTCACCTCGGCATCACAGGCGGAGGTGGAGGAGGAGGAGGGGGGGGAGGCGGGGGAGGAGCAGCAGCAGGCGCGCGGGTGGGGGGGGGGGGGGGCGCCTGGACGAGTTTCAGGAGGTGGCGGGGGAGAGCGAGGAGCGGCGGCAGCTGCGATACGAGCGGTTTCAGCGCCTGCAAGAGAGAGCGGTGAGTGAGGGGGTGTTGATGGGTGCAGGGCACGGGGAAAATGGGTGGCGGGGGAGAGTGAGGAGCGGCGGCAGCTGTGGTACGAGCGATTTAAGCGCCTGCAAGAGAGGGCGGTGAGTGAGGGGGAGCAGGGCGTGGGGGGCGGCTAGTGAGTGGGGAATGCAGGGATGTGCACAGGGCTGGGTATAAGGCTGGGTGCAAGGTGCTTTGCTGGGCGTAAAGTGCAGGGGTGCGAATTTCAGGGAGTCATGAGGAGAGCGAGGGGCGGTGGCAGCTGCGATATGAGAGGATTCTGCGCCTTTAAGAGAGAGCGGGGAGCAGTGAGTGGGTGGAGAGCGGTGAGTGGGTGGAGAGCGGTGAGTGGGTGGAGAGCGGTGAGTGGGTGGAGAGCGGTGAGTGGGTGGAGAACGGTGAGTGGGTGGAGAGCAGTGAGTGGGTGGAGAGCGGTGAGTGGGTGGAGAGCGGTGAGTGGGTGGAGAGCGGTGAGTGGGTGGAGAGCGGTGAGTGGGTGGAGAGCGGTGAGTGGGTGGAGAGCAGTGAGTGGGTGGAGAGCGGTGAGTGGGTGGAGAGCGGTGAGTGGGTGGAGAACGGTGAGTGGGTGGAGAGCAGTGAGTGGGTGGAGAGCGGTGAGTGGGTGGAGAGCGGTGAGTGGGTGGAGAGCGGTGAGTGGGTGGAGAGCGGTGAGTGGGTGGAGGGCGGTGAGTGGGTGGTTGGGCTTTCGCATGTGTGCTTTCCACTTTGCTGTCCCTCCGTCTATTTCTGCCCTCCCCAACCCCCATTCCCCCCGTTCTTTCCATTGCTCCCCCTCGCCCATCCCTCCGTGCCGCCTCACTCCCCTACCCGCACCCCCCTCATCCTTTTCACCTTCCAGTCCCTCCCTCTCCACCTCTCGCCCCACTTCCACCTCTCGCCCCTCTTCCACCTCTCGCCCCTCTTCCACCTCTCGCCCCTCTTCCACCTCTCGCCCCTCTTCCCACACCAGGCAGCAGCGCTGGACGAGAAGAACGGAGCGAGAGGACCAACCCCTCCCCCCCCTCTCCCCTCATATACCATTCTCTCCCCTCTCCCCTCTCTTTCTCCCCACGGCAGGCAGCAGCGCTGGACAGGAAGAAGCGGCAAGACCGGGGTGCATGGAAGGAGCAGGAGGACCCAATCCCTCTGCCCCTCTCCCACATGTCCCCACTCTCCCCCCCCCCCCCCCTCATCCCTCCTCATGTCCCATTCTTCCCCCCCTCTCTCGCCTCTACCTTCGCTCCCCCTCTCCCCACGGCAGGCAGCAGCGCTGGACGAGAAGAAGCGGCGAGACATGGACGTGCTCAAGGAGCAGGAGGACCGCCATGTGAGTCAGTGCTGTGAGGTGGGATGCGGTGGGGTGAGTTGTGCGTGGGTGATGGGTGAGTTGGTGTGAGAAGCGGCGAGACATGGGCATGCTGAAGGGGAGCAGGAGGACCGCCATGTGAGTGGGTTGGGGTTGGGTGGGTTTACTTTGACTAGGGCGAGTGAGAGGCCGGGATGGTGTGGTGAGAGTGGGAGGCGGGGATGGTGTGGTGAGAGTGGGAGTGAGACATGGGCGTGTGGCAGGAGCAGGAGGACCACCATGTTAGTCGATGCCTGTTGATGGAATGGCTGTGTACTGTGAGACATGTGTGAGAGAATGGCTGTGTGCTGTGAGACGTGTGAGAGAATGGCTGTGTGCTGTGAGACATGTGTGAGAGAATGGCTGTGTGCTGTGAGACATGTGTGAGAGAATGGCTGTGTGCTGTGAGACATGTGTGAGAGAATGGCTGTGTGCTGTGAGACATGTGTGAGAGAAAGGCTGTGTGCTGTGAGACATGTGTGAGATGTGGGCGGTGGGCGGCACCCCTCTCTGTCCTCCCCCCTCACCCATCCTAACCTCCCCGTGCTTCCCCCCATCCTAACCTCCCCGTGCTTCCCCCCATCCCCACTTCCTTGCCCGCCCCTTCCTTCCCCGCAGAAAGCGGATGAGACGTGGACATTGAGATCCAGTGCTGGGCGGCACGCCGGCTCCCCCTTCCTTCTCACCCCTCCCTATCCTCTCCCATGCTCTGCTTGCTGCCACTTCCCCGCCTATGCAGAAAGCGGGTGAGATGCTGGACATAGAGATCAAGCGCTGGGCAGCAGGCAAGGAGGGCAATCTGCGGGCGCTGCTATCCACCCTGCAGTTTGTACGTACCCCTCAGCCTGATGTACTGTTCCATGCACCTTTACACACTCGAGCTGTGGGTCATCCCCACACGCTTTCAGAATCCTCATTGCTCTCGTACTTTCCCTTGGTGATTCTTTGGATTTGGCTTCGCTCTTCCCTCGCTCTCACTCCCGCCCACCGTCACTGCCTCCCTCCCTCTCTCCTTCCCCTCCCCCCCTCCCTCCCTCCCTTCCCCTATTTTACTCGCTCCTCTCACCACCCACTCTATTGCAGGTGCTCTGGCCGGAGTGCAAGTGGGAGCCTGTCGCACTCACAGACATCATCAGGTGGGTGCTGCTGCCATGTGCATATGGGGTGTGGTGTGTGCGCATGTGAGGTGCTGACCTGAAGCATGACGGCAAGGAGTGCAGTTGGGAGCCTATCGCACTCACAGGCATCACCAGGTGGGTGCTGGCGTGTGCTGCTGGCGTGTGCTGCTGGCATGTGCTGCTGGCGTGTGCTGCTGACGTGTGCTGCTGGCGTGTGCTGCTGGCATGTGCATACAGGGCGTGGTGTGGATGTGACATGCGCATGTGAGGTGTTGACCTGAAGCAGGGGGGCAAGGAAGGACTGCAAGTGGGAGCCTGTCATGCTCAAAGACATCGTCAGGTGTGAGCGTGTAAGGGGGATGTAGTGTAGTTGTTGCCTGCATGTGCTGCTGGCATGTGTGTATGGGGTGTGGATGTGGCGGCTTGAAGCTTCGGAGCTAGCAGTGCAACTTGGTGCTGCTGCTGTGTGGTGCTCATGGTTGGTTGCTGTGCCCACTGCGCACCCACCTACCCACCCACCCGTCCACCCGCCCCCCCTACAGTGGAAACGTCGTACTGTGAGGCAGCGTTCTGTTGCGGTGGTGCGTGTGGTTGGTTGCTGTTTCCACCCACCCGCCCACCCCTACAGTGCAGCAGCACTGAAGAAGTCATACCTCTAGGCAGCGCTCTGCATGCATCACGTGTGTTCGTTAATGCTGTTGCAGTGGTGCATGCGGTCGGTTGCTGTGTCCTCCCACCCACCCACCCAACCACCCACCCATCCTACCACCCACCCACCCTCCTCCCCCTCACAGTGCGGGAGCAGTGAAGAAGTCGTACCGCAAGGCAGCGCTCTGCGTGCATCCTGACAAGGTGCAGCAGAAGGGAGCTACAGTGCAGCAGAAATACATTGCCGAGAAAGTATTTGACCTGCTAAAGGTGAGTGCTGAATGTGATTCTGTCACAAAGAGTTAGTTCGCAATGTCGTGCACATACTGACTGGTTTTGTGTTTCCTTGTTTCTTCAACAGGAGGCGTTCAACAAGTTCAACTCTGAGGAGCTGTTTTGAGGGCTCCACAGTATCGAGGACAATAACTGTTTCATATATTTGTATTGCATGGTACCTTGATGAAAACTACACATAGGAGTCTGGGTAGATGTTTGGTTCGTATCGTGAGTGTCAAGACATAGCAGTCGTATTAGCACCGGGTATTATTGGGAATGCGGCTGATATGCAAACGTGTGCAAGCGTGACATCATGCTGGGGTTGTAAGTGATTCTCTAGAAGTCTCACTTGTCAGAGAGAGAATGAGTGATCAGTCACATGCAGGCCAGCCTCCCGCTGCCAGCTAGTCGCCTGCCAGCCGCCAGCCAGACGCCAGCTCGCGGCCCGCCACCCGCCAGCCAGCTAGCCGCCAGCTCGCAGCCAGCTGCCAGCCAGCCGCCAGCTGCCAGCCAGCCGCCAGCTGCCAGCCACTAGCCGCTGCTGCCTGCTGCCGCCCGCTGCCGCCTGCTGCTGCCTGCTACTTCAGCCGCCGCAACTCCAGCAACTACAGTCGCAACCGCCACCGCTCCTGCCGCCGCCGCCGCTTCAGAGCCGCCGCCGCCGCCGCTGCCTGCCACTGTTGTTGCCGCAGGCTTGCCGCCTGCTGCTCCCGCCTGTCCCTCACTGCTGCCGCCTGCTCCTACTGCCTGCCTGCCACTGGCCGCTTGCCACCTTGTGACTTTCAGCCGCCAGCTGCCATCTAGCTGCCTTTCAGCTCAGCCCCTAGCGCCTCCCACAAATCTCCTCCTCATTTCTGCACCTCTTGCGTCAAGGGTCGACACCGCGCCGCCCCTCAATCCTCCTCGTTTTCCTCCGAAAACTGCTCCCTTATAGACTCTGGACATGGACGTCTGGGGCCCCGCACCGATCCATGGGCCTTACGGGGAGCGCTACTTTCTGGTGGTCGTTGACGACGTCACGCGGTTCACCACGGTTTTCTCTTTGGAGCGGAAGGCCGACGTGCCTTACCCTCGCAGCCACAGGTTTCGCCGACCCTTCTCTCGACTGGGTCCCTTGGTGACGCATCGGTGTTCCATGTCTGGGGCTGCCTACATCCGCCCCCCCCAGCGCGGACAAGCTCTCAGTCCACACTTCCCCTAGTGTCTTCCCTTGTTTCCCATTCGACGCTCCTGCCTGGTTGTTCTATCACCCTGGACAACACCGCTTCTTTCACTCTCGCAACGTTACGTTCGACGAGTCCATGAGCATCTACGCTCGCTTTCCTTATCGTGGCGATACGGGCCCTGCTGCGCCTCTCTTCTTGCCCCTCCTCCATCTGCCTCTCCCCTCCCACCCCACCCAGTCCCATTCGGTGTCTCTCACACCACTCCCCTCCCCTCAGCTGGGCCTGTGGGGGAGTCTACTGACTCTGGAGCCCTCGTGGCTAGGGGTGCGCCTGCCGCCGCTGCGGTGCCACTCCCGCCAGCCCCGGTGCCCCAGGCACCCCAGCAGCCTCCCTCGTTGCCGCCACAGCCGGGCCGGGAGACTGTGGCCTCTGAGGGTACTGGATTTGGGGGTGTTGGTTCTGGAGGTGCTAGTTCCTTGGGTGCTGGTTCTGGGGGTGCTCGTTCTGGGGGTGCTGGTTCTGTGGGTGCTAGTCCTGGGGGTGCTAGCTTGGAGAGCATTGGCGGTGGTGGGGCTGGGAGTTCTTGCGTGGCTCGAGAGCAGCAGCAGCAATTGCAGCGTTCCCTTCGTCTCCTTGGCCTTTCCTCCAGTTCCCTTGACCAGACCGTTCGTCCCTCCTACTGTGCCTGACCCAGTCTACAGCCAACTGATCCCCCCCTTCGGACTCCTCTGCGGCTCGTTCCCCCCCTCGCTCTCCTCCGTCCCCTGACTTATCCCCTGCTCCCCCCCGTCCCCAGTCCCCCGTCCATCCCCACTAGATATGTCATTCCCTTGATGCTTGTCTTGTCTCTCCTCGTGCTAGTGTCCACCTTATGGTCCTTCGTTCCCGCGCTCCTCCAGTCCCCGTCCTATCGATGCCTCCCAATTCGTCGCTCCCGTTGTCCCCTGCTCCGCCCTCTGACTACGCTCGCACTGCTCGTCCAGTCGTCTCCTACTTGCTTGCGACGCATGTCACTGACACTACCGCTCCACCTGAGACCGCCTCTACTCTAGTCGCTGCTGTCACTGACTTTGTTGCAAGCCACCACCTTGACTGCTCTTCTGCTCTGGTCTCTAACCCTGCCTGTCCTCCGTCCGTCGGGGGTGCACCGTCCTTGGCAATGACGTTCTATAGGATAGGCAATATGAGCTAGCTTTTATTGCGGCTGTTGTACCTCACCTCTGGGCCATGCTTGTGTCCCCTGAGGGTGACCCGGACACTGTGGACATCCCTATCCCACGCTCCTATGCTAAGGCGGTCTTGGGTGCATGGGCAGCCCAGTGGTTACAGGCCATGGAGGCAAAGTTGCCATCTTATAGATCCAATGCCACTTACGTCGATGCAATTCCTCCACCTGTAGCAAACATAGTCGATGTCATATCAACATGTAAGGTGAAGCGCCCCCCTGAAGAGCCGCCTGTGTTCAATGCACGCTATGTGGCTAGAGGTTTCCGTCAGCGAGAACGTGTGGACTTCTTCGAGACATTCTTCCAGACCCCGAAGATGACTACTCTTCGCGTGCTCCTCCACGTTGCTGCACAGCGTGACTACGAGCTATACTCCCTGGATTTCTCTACAGCCTTCTTATAAGGCAGCTGTGAGAGTACGACCTCGTTACACCACTATGGCCTTTTCTTATTTCCTTCCTATTTCATTTCTCTTTTCATCTCATCTCATTTGGTTTCCTATTCTTCATTTTTCCCTTAACCTTTGGTTTATCCTGCTATTATCATTATATCACCGACCAGGCTTGGGATGTACTGGTGCGCTCTATCTAGCGTAATCCTGCCGTAATCCCTTAAAGCCAATAGCCATGTGTGGCTATACGCAGGGTGATTCTATATTCTAGAAGGGTCAATTCCCTTTGGATAGGATAAACCTGGTTACCTGATGTATTTTGGAAGTATAAAAGTACCTTGTACTGATCGATAGTGCAATCTTTCCTCGAGTCATTCGATCCTGTGACACTTGGTAATCAGAGCTTTTCCCACTCGGCCGCGCTCAACAAAGTAGCAGCAGCGGGAAAACCTGCCTCGAAAAACCGCCGGGGGCGACCAATTCGACGCCGATTCTGGTAAGCACCAGCTCCGCGATTTTCGAATTACCCCCTCCGTGCGTGTTTTGAACAGGATGGCAACCTTCGACAACGCCGAGGTTACCCAGCAGCTCTTCGCGCGCATCGCAGCCCTTCAGGAGGAAATGCGAGCGGATCGCGAAGCGTGGCGAAACGAGTTCGAGCGAGTAACTCGACTCGCCGGAGCGCAGCACGAAACAACAACGGCGACGACGCAGCAGTCGCAGCAGTTTCTCGAGGCTCCGAAACCGCGCCCACCTGAGCCGTTCGATCCGAGTGATCGAAACTCCGACGCCCGCAGGTGGATCGCCGGGATGGAGATCTACTTCGCAGCCTTCGGATGGAGCTCGCCAGGCTGGGACGGACAACGTGTACGACTCGCGTCGACACTGATGCGAGGGCCGGCACTCGAGTGGATTGATGGCAACAGTACCTTCATCCACGGTGAAGCCACGTGGCAGCAGTTCCGCACCGACCTGCTGAAACGCTTCGAGCCGATAAATTCCAGTTTCCTTGCCCGGGAAAAAATTCATCGACACCGACAGTTCGGGAGTGTAGCGCAGTACACACAGCAGATGGAGGAATTTTATAACCGAATTCCCGATCTGACAGAAGGGGAAAAAGTACAGTCGTACCTCGCCGGGCTGAAGACCGAAGTCAAACGACAAGTGGCAACGTCAAACTACGCGAGCTACAGTGACGTCGTTTCGGCAGCGGAGCGCTTCGACATGGTCAATGCTGGGACACGACGGACGCACGTCGGCAGTACGCGACAGGGCGACCGCTCGGCTCACCCCACATTCACCGACCCGATGGAAGTCGTCAGGTTCGAGGGGCGGCCACGTCCGAAAAACACCAATTACACGTGTGATTTTTGCGGGGTGCCGAGTCATCGAATCTTCGACTGCAACAAAATGAAAGCCGCACGCGCAGAGTATCGGGCATGCAATAGTGTCGGAATTCCTTCGGCCAATCAGAAGACAAAAAACGGGAGTCGCCAGTGATTGCGGATCTAGCTGGCGAAAATAAAAAGATCCGGAAGCGGCCGCAGGATTCCGGGAAAACCAACTTCGACGAAGCTGATTCGACGCGAGAAGGAGGAAATGATAGGGGAAAATCTCCACCCCACGACCGGTCTTCGCCAGGGAAAAACGCCGAGGAAAAATACGACTCCGCGAAAAAAAACTCTGCCGAGACGGAGAAACTCCTTGAAGACCCACGAAATTATAAGAATCCGTTAAAGTTATCTTATAAAGATGCTTTAATGAAAACTTATGATTTTCGAGGGGCTAGAGCCTTGGAGAAATTTCGGGAAGGACTCCAAAAGAAGCAGATAGCTGTAGAGATTATACCGGTACTCGACAACTTGGGGAAAAAATTAAGGAGTGTGGAAAGAAGCCGACCTTTCCACGGAGTCAACGTCCTCTCCCGACACCAGCCCACAACGACTACCCGTTCCCTAGGGAAGACGTCGGTGGAGCTGAAGCAGCTCAAGAGGAAGCTGGGGGTCTATAAGAAGCTGCACAAACCCCGAACTCCTCCGGATGCATCCAGTTCTTCGGCATCAACGACGCGCACAGTCGTCAAGGAAGCTCTGGGCCCTAGAGAAGAGCCGTTCTCCAAGCAGCCTCGGCCAGCTGCCAGCTCAGGTGTAGATAGCAACACAAAGGTGTGTACGGAATATTGGGATGTACCCTATGATCCAATCAATGAAACTATCTTTGGGTACTCCGAGCAACGCCTGCCCCTCGTGCTCGAGGTCATCTGCTAAGGACGACGCCTCCAAGCACTCGTGGACAGCGGAGCATCACACACCGTCTGCAACAAGGCAGTAATCGACCGACTTCGGGAAGAGTACAAGCCTTCAGGGTTCTCTGCAACGATGGTGGACGGAAGCAACTTACCAGTACATGGCGAAACAGTGTTACACCTACAAATCGGACCACTGCGCTGGAGACCTGCACTCCCCATCACCAACATCAAAGGGCTTGACTTGATCTTCGAGCGAGACTTCCTAAAAAGATTCAACCCCGAGATCAACTGGGTGAATCGCACCGCAAGTATGTACAAGAATGGACGGAGAG